CTGCCTTCCTCTCCTCTCTAGAAATTAACAAACAATTCTTAAATAAATAAATAAGTAAATGGCGGATCTATGTGGAGGAAACCCCTGTGGGCAGATAGATGGTGACAGAATTTGCAGGTTAAATCAGGGGACATTTTGCCCAATTTTCAGTGCTGCCAATTTATATGTAAATTATAGTTATGATAATGGAAACCATTTGAAGGAGAAATACCAGTGGAGCAGAAGTGGATTATTCTATACCCCTGGGCCTCACTGAGACACACATATACACATCCTGGCAAATAAATCAACTGGGCTGATTAAGATAGATGCTGGAATGGTGGTCTCCTCAGAGAATACGACAATGAGCTTGTACGATAAATTTAATAACAGTGAGACTCTAGTGATTGGCAGGCGTCAGGCTGCTCCTGTAACTTATGGAACTGGCTTTGTCTCCCAAGCAAGACTTCCCGTAAGCAGTGTGGCATGATTGTGCATTTAGACTCTGGATTCCACTGCTTAGGTTTAAGTCTCAGCTCCATCATTTGCTTGTGTTTAGACAAATTATTTGGCTATCATCAATATGATATGAATCCGTTTTTTTTCTTTATTATTAAAGTATTATATATGTGTCCTTATCCTCCCATTGGCCTCCCCCTTTCCCCCACTCATGCCCTCACCCCCCTGGTGTCTGTGTCCATTGGTTAGGCTTATATACATGCATACAAGTCCTTTGGTTGACTTCTCTCTTACGCCCACCCTCCCCTATCTTCGCTCTGAGGTTTGATGATTCTGTTTCTGGATCGGTTTTTGTTTATCAATTTATGTTGTTCATTATATTCCCCAAATGAGTGAGATCATGTGATATTTATCTTTCTCTGACTGACTTATTTTTTTAATATATATTGATTTTTTTTTTACAAAGAGGAAGGGAGAGGGATAGACAGATACATCAGTGAGAGAGAAACATTGATCAGCTACCTCCTGCACACCCCCTACTAGGGATGTGCCCACAACCAAGGTACATGCTCTTGACCGGAATCGAACTTGGGACCTTTCAGTCCATAGGCTGATGCTCTATCTATTGAGTCAAACCAGTTAGGGCTGACTGACTTATTTCACTTAGCATAATGCTCTTCAGGTCCATCCATGGAGTTGCAAATGGTAAAAGTTCCTTCTTTTTTACCATAGCATAGCATTCCATTATGTAGATGTACCACAGTTTTTTAATCCACTCATCTGCTGATGGGCACTTAGACTGTTTCCAAATCTTAGCCATGGTAAATTGTGCTGCTATGAACCTAGGGGTGCATATATCCTTTCTGATTGGTGTTTCTGGTTTCTGTGGATATATTCCTAGAAGTATGATTACTGAGTCAAATGGAAGTTCCATTTTTAGTTTTTTGAGGAACCTCCATACTGTTCTCCACAGTGGCTGCACCAGTCTGCATTCCTACCAGCAGTGCACGAGGGTTCCCTTTTCTCTGCATCCTCACCAGCACTTGTTTGTTGATTTGTTGATGATAGCCATTCTGGCAGGTGTGAGATGGTACTGCATTGTCATTTCGATTTGCATCTCTTGGATGATTGGTGACTGTGAGCATGTTTTGATGTGTCTCTTGGCCTTCCTCTGTCCTCTTTCAAAAAAGTATCTATTTAGGTCCGTTGCCCATTTTTTGATTGGGTTGCTTATATTCCATTTGTTAAGTTGTATGAGTTCCTTGTAAATGTTTGAGATTAAACCCTTATTGGAGATAACATTGGCAAATATGTTCTCCCCTGCAGTGGGCTTTCTTGTTGTTTCATTGATAGTTTCTTTTACTGTGCAGAAGCTTTTTATTTCAATGTAGTCCCATTTGTTTATTTTCTCTTTAGTTTCCATTGCCCTAGGAGCTGTATTGGTGAAGACATTGCTTTGGCATATGTCTAAGATTTTCCTGCCTATGGATTCCTCTAAGATTTTTATGGTTTTCTGTCTTACGTTTTAGTCCTTTATCCATTTGGAGTTTATTTTTGTATATGGTGTAAGTTGTTGGTCTAATTTCATTTTTTTGCAAGTGCCTGTCCAATTTTCCAAACACCATTGATTGAAGAGACTATCTTGACTCCATTGTAAGCTCTTGTTCCTTTGTCAAATATTAATTGAGCATAGTGGTTTGGGTCGATTTCTGGGTTCTCTATTCTTTTTTTTTTTTTTTTTTTTTTTTTTTTTTTTTTAATAAATCTTTATTTTTCAGATTATTACAATTGTTCCTCTTTTCCCCCCCCATAGCTCCCCTCCACCTGGTTCTCGCACCACCCTCTGCCCTTACCCCTTCTTCCCCACTGTCCTCATCCATAAGTGTACGACTTTTGTCCAGTCTCTTTCTGCACCCACACACCCCTTTTCCCCCCAAGAATTGTCAGTCCACTCCCTTTCTATGCCCCTGATTCTATTATATTCACCAGTTTATTCTTTTCATCAGATTTTTTATTCACTTGATTTTTAGATTCACTTGTTGATAGATATGTATTTGTTGATCTATTTGTTGATCATAATTTTTATCTTTACCTTTTTTGTTCTTCTTTCTCTTCTTAAAGAATACCCTTCAGCATTTCATATAATACTGGTTTGGCAGTGATGAACTCCTTTAGCTTTTTCTTGTCTGTGAAGCTCTTTATCTGACCTTCAATTCTGAATGATAGCTTTGCTGGGTAGAGTAGTCTTGGTTGTAGGTTTTTGCTATTCATCATTTTGAATATTTCTTGTCACTCCCATCTGGCCTGAATAGTTGAGAAATCAGCTGACAGTCGTATGGGTGCTCCCTTGTAAGTAAATAATTTTTTTCTCTTGCTGCTTGTAATATTCTCTCTTTGTCTTTTGCTTTTTGCATTTTAATTATGATGTTTCTTGGTGTGGTGCTCTTTGGATTCCTTTTGTTTGGGGTTCTGTGTGCTTCCAGGACTTGTAGATCTATTTCTTTCACCAGGTGAGGGAAGTTTTCAGTCATTATTTCTTCATATAGGTTTTCAATATCTTGCTCTCTCTCTTCTTCTGGGACCCCACAATTCTGATGTTGGTATGTTTGAAGTTGTCCCAGAGGCTCCTACACTATCTTTATATTTTTGAATTCTTTTTGCTTTTCTGGTTGCGTGTTTTTTGCTTCTTTGTTTTTCAAACCTTTGACTTGATTCTTGTGATCCTCTAGTCTGCTGCTGGACTATTTTTTATTTCAGTCACTGTATGCTTAATTTCTAGTTGGTCTTTTTTCATATCCTTGAAGGGTCTCACTAAATTTATTGGCCTTTTCTAGGAAATTCTTGAAAAACCTTATAAACGTGGTTTTGAACTCTATATCCAGTCATTTGCTTTCCTCCATTTCTTTCATTTGTGAGCTTGGGTTGATAGAGTGGCTTTGTATGTTAGGTGTTCTATAGGGCCCAGTGGCTCAGCCTCCTAGTTACCTGAGGTGGACACTCTTGGTGCACCCCTTTGTGGGCTGTGTGTACCATCTTGTTGTATTTAAGCCTTGATTGTTGTTAGTATCACTGAGAAGAATTGACCTTCAGGCCAATTGGCTGTAAGGATCAGCTGTGTCTACAATGGGTGATCTTCTGTGCTGGAGACACCCTTATGAGGCAAGACTTGCTTCAGTGGGGCTTTGGTGCTCACTGAGTCTTCCCCCTGAATGTGTCCCCTATGGATCTGAGGAGTTGTAATCTGGAGGTCTTACTCTGACACTTTAGTGCACTGCCTCTTGGATCTCCAAGGCGGTGCTAATTTAGCCTCTGCCTGAGGCCACCCAGCAGAAGCTATGTGGAGATCTGCAGATTCCTCTTCTTTGTTTGGATTTTGGAGGTGCCCAGATGAGGCCCAGCTGTGAAGCAGTGCAAGCAGCTGTGGGGTCTTGGGCCTTCTTTTGGATGTTCTGGGTCTCAGTGATTCAGCTGCAGTTTGTTAGGTAAATTTAGATTTCAAAGGACCAGGCCATTCATATGTGCACAGTTTGGATGGAATAGAATCTCAGGGCAGAGCAAACAGCAATGGCTTCCGTTCAGCCCTGCCTGGATCTCAATGTCCCTTGGTAATTGCTGCAAGCACCTCTGAGAGAAAGCCACCTTCGAGTTTCGTCCACGGCCAGACAGTCCAGTTTCTCCCCAAATGAGTTTAGGTCCCCAGAGTCTCACCCAGAACTGGAGTTCAGAGCAGTTGGGAGCTTTTGTTTTCCTCTCGCTTGAAAATGTCAGCCACCTACTCAGTTGCCAGCCCTCTTTGTGTGCTAGCATCCATACCTCTGCCTTTACTTCCGCAGTTCCTCCTAATCTCAGTGTGCTTTTCTCTTCCCTTCAGGTTGTAGAATTTCCACTCAGCCGGCCTTCCTGTGGTTCTGGATGATTTCTGTTTTGTCTTTTAGTTATAGTTTTTTTTTTTTTAAATATATTTTTATTGATTTTTTTACAGAGAGGAAGAGAGAGGGATAGAGAGTTAGAAACATAGATGAGAGAGAATCATCGATCAGCTGCCTCTTGCACACCTCCTACTGGGGATGTGCCCGCAACCAAGGTACATGCCCTTGACCGAATTGAACCCGGGACCTTTCAGTCCACAGACCGACGCTCTATCCACTGAGCCAAACCAGTTTTGGCTAGTTATAGTTTTGAAGTTGTTGTGCAAGGCAGTAAATTCAGGTGTTTACCTATGCCACCATCTTGGTTTCTCCTCTGGGTTCTTTATTCCATTGGTCTATATGTCTGTTCTTGTGCCAGTACCAGGCAGTTTGGAGAACAGTGGCTTTGTAATACAGCTTGATATCTGATATTGAGATCCCTCCTATTTTGTTCTTCTTTCTCAGGATTGCTGCAGCTATTTATGAATCAGTTTTTCCAGAAATAAAATAAGGCTGCAATCATGTCTGCTGTGGGGATGAACAGAAGTCATATATTTGGAGCACTTAAAACAGTGCCTGATGTACAGTGATCCAGTGGCGTCAGCTGCTAATGTTGTTGTGTCTCTCCCCGTGTGCCTCTTCCAGCTCATTGCTATGGACAGTGCTATCACCCTATGGCAGTTCCTCCTTCAGCTCCTGCAGGAGCCGCAGAACAAGCACATGATCTGCTGGACCTCTGACAACGGGGAGTTCAAGCTTCTGCAGGCGGAAGAGGTGGCTCGGCTCTGGGGGATTCGTAAGAACAAGCCTAATATGAACTACGACAAGCTCAGCCGAGCCCTCAGATACTATTATGTAAAGGTAATACACGCCCACCCGAGAACAAGAAGCATTCCTTCTCTTCTGTTCAGGTTATTGGTACAAAGATGCTGATTTATTTACTTAATTTTTAAAATCTCTATATATAAAAGCCTAAGCGATCATTACAATGGGATGACCAGAATGACTGGACGCTATGATGCATACTGACCACCAGGGGGCAGACATTCAATGCAGGAGTTGCCCCCAGCCCACAGGCCCCGATCACTGTTGAGGCCTGCCAGCCTACTTCCTGGTCCCTCCCCCTAGTCTGCAGGTCTTGATCACCTGATTGGGGCTTAGCTCTGGGCTGAGATGGGGAACTGGGGGTGGGTGGTGGCAGATATGGGTGGCAAGGGAAAGATGAGGGGGGGAGGGGCGGAACCTGATCAGCCCTGATCGCCGGCCAGGCCTAGGGACCCCACCTGTGCATGAATTTTGTGCACCAGACCTCTAGTTGAGATATAATTGGAATAGTTTCAGGAATACAACATGATTTGATATTTGTTTCCATTGCAAAATGATCACTGTCATGGTTTATTTTAATCCAGTTTATTTTATAACTTGAACAGTTTGGAATTAAGATGGGGGCTGGAAATGTTCCAGTTGTCTTTCTGCAAACTATTATTCAGTACCCCACCCCATTGCATCTATTTTATTCCAAACAGTTGTCTGGAAAAGTAAGGATAGGGTTGAAATAAGGAAAAAGAAATTTGAGATTCTTGAGGATAAATATTATTTTGTATACCATGATTTACTTTAAAAATTGTCATAGGTACTTGTTTCTTAGCTTTACTTAGTTTTTACTTTTTAATTTAATCCAGAGAACACAATTAATGCATGCCTGTTTACCCATAGAATTGACTTCTTAGTTAAAATTTTTAAAAAATTTATTTATTTATTTATTTTAATATATTTTATTGATTTTTTTTTTGCTCCTCTCCCTCCCTCCCATACATGCGCTCCCTCCCCAGAGTTTTATGTTCATTGGTTGTATTTATATGCATGTATACAAGTCCTTCGGTTGATCTATCTCCCCCAGATCTTCCCCCCCTCCCCACTGTAATTTGACAGTCTGCTTGTTGCTTTACTGTCTCTATATCTTTTGGTTCATCAGTTTACAATGTTCTTCATTATCCACAAATGAGTGAGGTCATGTGGTGTTTCTCTTTCATTGATTGGCTTATTTCACTCAGCATGATGTTCTCCAATTCCATCCAGGTTGCTGCAAATGATGAGAATTCCTTCTTTTTTTATCACAGCATAGTATTCCATTGTGTAGATGTACCATCGTTTTTTGATCCAATCATCTGCTGATGGGCACCTAGGCTGTTACTTCTTAGTTAAAATTTTTAAATTCTCATTTTGAATACACATTGGGCCCTGAGGTAAAATAAGTGACTCAAGTGGATAGAACTGGAATGAGAAGCTGAGATCTTTATTTCTTTCACCTTTAAGTGGTTGGTCTTATCAGCTTTGCTGTCTGAGACATGAGTAAAAGCAACAACTGGAGTTTTTGAAGGAAGTAGGAACCTTAGTAGAAGTGATGTTTTCAATTCCTTTTTGCTTACTCTGCATGTATTTGGCCTGCACCTTTGGACTTGTTGTAGATTGTGTGTAGGTCAGCGATTTTTGACAACACAGGTCATTGGTTGAGAGCATTAAGCAATTACGATCAGCTTTTATGTAATGTATTCAGTACAGTTGTTAATACGACATGTAAATGCTCTTAACTTACGCTCACCACAGTAGGCACTGTGGTGAGCGTGACTAGATAGTAACCTAGAGGATGTCGGATGAATGGAAGTTTGAAGTAAACTGTTTGTCACACAGAGGACACCATTAGGTCAATATTTTTCACTCGAGATGAGATTATAAGAAAGTATAAGAATGCTTTTTATCTATCTACAGAATATCATAAAGAAGGTGAACGGTCAGAAGTTTGTGTACAAGTTCGTCTCTTACCCGGAGATTCTGAGCATGGACCCGATGAAGGTGGGCAGGATTGAGGGGGACTGTGAGGCCCTGAGCGCCGGTGAGGTGGGCGGCTCCCGGGACGCGGAGAGCGGAGGGAAGGAGCGGCCCCCGCAGGCCGGTGCCAAGGCCTCCAGCCGCAACGACTACATCCACTCCGGCTTGTATTCCTCGTTTACCCTCAACTCTTTGAACGCTTCCAAGAGGAAGCTCCTCAAGTCTATAAAGATGGAGAACCCCGCCGAGAGACTGGCAGAGAAGAAATCTCAGAAGCCAGCACCGTCCGTCATTAAATTCGTAACAACGCCTTCCAAAAAGCCACCGGTGGATCCTGTCGTCGCTGCCCCCGTTCCAGCGGGCGCCGGTGTTTCCCCATCTCCGGAAGAGACTCTCCAAGTGCTGGAGACGTTGGCGTCCCCCTCCCTGGAAGCCCCGGCCTTTCCCAGCACACCCGTCCCGTCCCCTTCCTTCCAGGAGCCCCCGAGATCACCCTCCCCGCCGCTCAGCTCCAACCCAGACATCGACACGGACATCGACTCCGTGGCCTCGCAGCCCGTGGGGCTGCCGGAGAGCTTGGCGCTGGAGCCCAGGGACCAGGACTCGGCCTTGCCGGGAAAGGACAGAACAAACAGCTCATCCAGATCCAAGAAGCCCAAGGGGTTGGAGCTGGCCCCCATCCTCCTGATCACGGGCAGCGACCCCAGCCCCCTGGGCCTCCTGAGCCCCTCTCTCCCCACAGCGTCCCTGACGCCAGCACTGTTCTCACAGGTAGCTCTTTCCTTCTCTCTCGTGCCACCGTGGTTTGCGTTCACTCGCCTTCCCGAACAAAGCCAGGTTTATAACCTCAAGTTTTCATTCTGCTAGTTCGGTTTTTATTTTTTATTATTATTATTTTTAAAATATATTTTATTGATTTTTAACAGAGAGGAAGGGAGAAGGATAGAAAGCTAGAAACATCAATGAGAGAGAAACATTGACCAGCTGCCTCCTGCATACCCCCTACTGGGGATGTGCCCGCAACCAATGTACATGCCCTTGATTGGAATCGAACCTGGGACCTTTCATTCCTCAGACCAATGCTCCATCCACTGAGCCAAACCGGTTTCAGCTGCTATTTCGGTTTTTAAATGACCCCATGAAAGTCACCCAGTCCCTTATCTTGGTTAGGATCACCAACACAGAAGGTTTGGAGCACTGTGTTAACTATAAGTAAAGAAATATTTTGGCTTTCCACTTCCTTTTATAGAAAATAAGTATTCTTTCTCTCTCTCTTTTTTTTGCTCGTATAAAAATCTTACTAAAAACAAACAAACGGATAATCTCAACTTGCTTACGTGTAACATTTAAATGGATGGCTCGCTCACAGATCTCATTATTAAGGAAAAACTACGTTTGTGACTCAGTTACCCGCTATTTTTCCATAGCTGAATTCAGATTCGTTTTTCTGTTTGAGAAAGACCCTACAAAAAATAGGTTAGAAAATATTTTGACTTTTATCTTTCTTAAGTTGTAAAAAATAACTTTTGAGTATTTCCTCGTGATAAAATGTCAGACGCGGAGAGATTTACAGTGACGAGGACAGTATTTGGGTTCAGGGCTATGGCATTATCACCAGGATAAAGCATAACCCCGATGCGCCGCTCAGTGAATGTTTCGCTTTGTGTGTTGCAGACGCCCATCTTACTGACTCCCAGCCCCTTGCTCTCCAGCATCCACTTCTGGAGCACCCTCAGCCCTGTCGCTCCCCTCAGCCCAGCCAGGCTGCAAGGTGCTAACACGCTTTTCCAGGTAAGGGGCGTAAAGCCCGTCTCTTGTAAGGGGGCATGGTGAACGGAGAGAGAGGCAGAAACACAGTATCCCCTTCTTTGGTTTAAGCATTATATAAAACTCCTATTTAATAAATATTCTTTACTTTTGGTTTTGAATTTCATATATTCAAACACACACACAACATATATGTGTGTATGTGTATTTGTATGAATATCTGTGTATATACATGTTTTTCCTAATAAAAAAGGATTTCTACAGTTTAAAGTGATAAAAAAACTGAATAGTCTCAAAATCTACAGTGATGAAATGTATGTGTGTGTGGAGGGGATTTTGGAGGGGAAAAAAAGAGAAAACTCTTGATAATGTATTAAATACTCCCATTTCCCTCTCAAAATATATAATTATTAACATTTTTTTTTAAATCAATCTTTATTGTTCATATTATTACAAAGGTTCCTCATTTCTTCCCCCCTCCACCAGGTTCCCACCCCACCCTCTGTCCCCTCCCCATCCCCCATTGTCCTCATCCATAGGTGCAGTTTATGTTCAGTCTCTTCTTCCCTCAATTTCCCCAATAGTAAATCCCTTTTCAGATAGTAAATCAGTTACTTAGCATTTTCTCAAATCAATAATACCTCCACATGCCCAATGATACACTTCACACAAAAGATATTTCCCAGTAGGTCCACTAGCCTCATGCAGGCCCCACCCAAGGCACTCACAGATCAACACCCCAGTCCTAAACTAACTCAACACATCCAGATCTAAGCCTTCATCACTTGATTCAGCAGACCCTCAAGTTCCCACGAAAGTTTCCAGCCATGTCTGAGAAGCAGCCGTGGGGCAGGGGCAGGCAAGGAGCGAGCTGTTCTGGGCCTGGTTGCTCAGGGCCTGGCCTCTGTTGCTCTGGTTCATTCCACAACCAGCTGCTCCGGGTCTGGTCACTGCCGCTCCTGACCTAGTTGCTCTGGACTTGGCTGCTGCTGCTCCGGGCCTGGCCGCTCCCAGCCTGGCTGCTGCTGCTCCAGGCCTGGCCGCTCCCAGCCTGGCAGCCGCTGCTCCGGGCCTGGCCGCACCAGCCCCGCCTGCTCCCCCGGGCCTGGCCGCTCCCAGCCTGGCAGCCGCTGCTCCGGGCCTGGCCGCACCAGCCCCGCCTGCTCCCCCGGGCCTGGCCGCTCGCAGCCTGGCAGCCGCTGCTCCGGGCCTGGCCGCACCAGCCCCGCCTGCTCCCCCGGGCCTGGCCGCTCCCAGCCTGGCAGCCGCTGCTCCGGGCCTGGCCGCACCAGCCCCGCCTGCTCCCCCGGGCCTGGCCGCTCCCAGCCTGGCAGCCGCTGCTCCGGGCCTGGCCGCACCCGACCCGCCTGCTCCCCCGGGCCTGGCCGCTCCCAGCCTGGCAGCCGCTGCTCCGGGCCTGGCCGCACCAGCCCCGCCTGCTCCCCCGGGCCTGGCCGCTCCCAGCCTGGCAGCCGCTGCTCCGGGCCTGGCCACACCAGCCCCGCTTGCTCCCCCGGGCCTGGCCGCTCCCAGCCTGGCAGCCGCTGCTCCGGGCCTGGCCGCACCCAACCCGGCTGCTCCCCCGGGCCTGGCCGCTCCCAGCCTGGCAGCCGCTGCTCCGGGCCTGGCCGCACCTGACCCGGCTGCTCCAGGCCCTAATTATTAACATTTTAAATATATTTTTTAAATGACTATTGCATTATCTCTTAAGCAAGATCTTAGGAGAAGTCTCACAGCTTTTATTTATTATTTTGCCCAGAACATCTAGACTTTATAACTGGTAGGCTTTCTTATGGTTGATTCATTTACTATTTAGAGTTGACTCCCTGGAGGATTTTTTTATGTTTTTGAGATTTAACTCTTCATTAATTCTTATGAAAATGAAATGTTAAAGAAGAAAACAACTTAAAAATACTCCTACTTCTGCATTTTTTGACAAAAAGTTCTAAATTATTGAGTAGAAAAAGTTGAGAATTTTCCTTGTTTCATTTTTCTTTGCCTCTTGCAAACGGGTGATTGCGTTATAGAGGGATCCGAGACCTTAAGCAAAGTCCTGCTCAGGTAGCTTCAGCCTAGAATCTCCTTCTAGAATTGGCCTCAGAACATATGATGGGGTGATGAGGACAAATATGTGATACCTTAATCAATAAAGAAATTTAAAAATACACATATATGATGGGGATCCCTCCTCTCCGATGAGCACCCTGTAACTGTTTGCACCGTTATAGAGTTAACAGGTGGGTGTCTCTTTCTGGACCTCTTTTGGACAGTCTGCGATTTGCTTTGTGATTGAATATACTCTGTAGGGTTATTTACCAACCTTTCTAAAACCTTCAACTGAAGTTAAATGCCATCCTGTGCACCTTAGGATATGAGGAAAGGTGTAGGTTTGTGCTTTGCATTCCATCAGGGCAAGATGAAGAGTATTAATACTTAATATTCTTTTCTTTTTATTTATTTTTAATTTTTATTGATTTCAGAGAGGAAGGGAGAGGGGGAGAGAAAAACATAAAGGATGAGAGCGGATCATTGATCACCTGCCTCCTGCATGGCCCACACCAGGGATCGAGCCTGCAACCCAGGCCTGTACCCTGACCGGAACTGAATCTCGACCTCCTGGTTTATAGGTCGATGGTCAACCACTGAGCCACGCCAGCCGGGCAACATTCTTTTCTTTAAAGTTTTGTTATGACATCATCCTCTTTCATGATAAACAGTTACTGCCTTTGTCCTATGAGCCACTGCTGATGGCTGTCATCTTCTGGCTCAGGAAACATAGAAGGGACGGAAAGTGAACATTCGGTTGAGTCAAAGGATGACAATGTATTCTCTTTTCTTTCTCAGTTTCCTTCTGTTCTGAACAGTCATGGGCCGTTCACTCTGTCTGGCCTGGATGGGCCTTCCACCCCTGGCCCCTTTTCCCCAGATCTACAGAAGACATAACAACGCACTTGCAGAAAGAGAGAACCAAGGAATAAAGAGACAGAGGGCCACTCCACACGATTGACTTCGGAGTGGCGGACGGTTGCACAGTGCTGGTAACAGACTCTCGTGGTTTTTGCCATTCCCGTCAAAAATGCCTTTTTAGGATTCCCTTCCAAGAAGACTCAAGTTGGACTGTGTTTAACAATGCCTTAAGTGGAGTCTGAACTCCACCTCCCTCTTTTTCTTTCTCTTATTTTTCTAACAAATACTTGAGCTTTGTGTTAAGGAAATGTTTGGTGGGGTTTAGCAGCTATGTTTTGCCAGAGCAGTTAAGAACAAAGTTATTCCTTCTGCCTTCTTGGGACCCTTTGGTCAGGGAAAAAAAAAAAAATCATGCTTTGAGCATATTATTTAAAGAAATACGAGTTAAACAAAATTGGCCATTTCTCTAAGACTAAGTGTGCTTTGTTGGATAATGAGAAGTGAGCTGTGCCTAAGCAGGAGAGGAAAAAGACATTTCTGTCCACACGGAGGAAGACCGGAGCAGTGCTCTGGGGCTGGTTCTGTATTGCTGTGGAGTCTGACCAATGACACCTCCTACTTACATGTTTGTTCAGGAGGGTCTCTCAGCCACACGTGTGCGATCTTGTCTGGGCCTGTCTACAGAGCATGGAGCTAGTCCATTTCAGCAGAGAGACTTTTCAGCCTGGGGTTAACACTGTTTGCGACAGCCAGTGAGAAGAGGGGGCCCCATCTCCAGCACAGAAAAGGTGGCTGCTCACGGCGGGGTGTTCCAGTCCCACATCCGCGGGCGACGCTTTTAGGAGAATAAGCTGGGTTTTGAGATTTGAAGACATCTCTGAGTAAAAGATCCAGGTGAATAACTTGAAACAGCATCTGTGGCCTTTCCCAGTTCAAGGATACATCCCTATACGAAGGACCCTTTCTCGTTTCTGTTCCTGGTGCCTCATATTCTGCCGTATGCTGATCTTCCTTTAAATGTGAGGTTGAGAGAGGCCGTGACAATTGTGAAATTGTAATTAGAAAAGTGAAAAGCCTCCAGATCCGCAGTGAGATAAAGGTGTGCTGATGTCTTTGTACGGTTCTTTTTAAATCAGGGAGGAGCAGAATTCCTTTGGGAATTCCCATGCACAGGAATTAGATGGTCCTCATTAGTAGGGGAAAATTTGGGCCTTTGTCTCAAGAGTACCAAATTTATAAAATACTCCTTTATGGTAATCAGTGCCAGCTTTGTTGATCCCCTAAACCGAATTGATACCAACGTCTCAGTGGAATCTTTTGAAAAATCTTGGCTTTCAAGTCCAGGATTAGATAGTATATGTGGCCGCCACCCCTCCCACACACCCCCCCCTCCCCCAACCGCTCTGTCCATTAAACTAGTCTTTTAACCCTAGAAATAGTTCCTATAATTCAATCGCAGGAACTAAAAGGAATGAGGGAATAAAGAATTGAGGGCTCAGAAGGACCCTGACACACACCAGCACCTTCCAGGTGTACAGACTGTGAGTGTGTGTACACCAGGGAGGAGAAGCGCTCGTGAGAGATGGCTGTGCTCACGCAGGGATGGCTGAGGGACAGTATTGGGAGACCCATTCCTGCTTCCTCGGGGTCTCAGCTGGGGTCTGTCCCTGAGACGTGCAGTAGCTGTGTTGAGAGGTCGTGGTGCTCAGCAGTGATGCAGACAGACTTCCGGGACTTCCCCCTCCTCCTCCCCTCCACCCTGCATCATTTATTCCACATGCCTGTTTGAAGGTGGACCTCTCAGCAGCACTTTGGAATAGTTTTATTAGGTTAACATTTTGTACATTGAATAAGTAAATTTTTAAAAAAATATATTTTATTGATTTTTTATAGAGAGGAAGGGAAGAGGGATAGTTAGAAACATTGATGAGAGAGAAACATTTATCAGCTGTATTCTGCACCCTCCCCACTGGGGATATGCCCACAACCAAGGTGTACATGCCCTTGACCGGAATTGAACCTAGGACCCTTCAGTAACAGGTTGATGCTCTATCCACTGAGCCAAGCCAGTTAGGGCAATAAGTAAATATTGATGGGTTGACTGAATTAGATATTTAAAATTGTGGAAGCACAAAACATATCTTTTGGAATTAAAGGAGAAAAGCCATTGGTTTGTTTTCCCAGATGCTCTCTTTAATAATGAACTGTTTCAACACAGGGGTGCCTGGGAAGCGAGGACACCATTGGAACTGATTCAGAGCAACTTCCTAGGAACGAGGGTTGGTGAACCCTCTGTCCATAAACCTATCCTGGAGGCCTCTGAGTGGTGTGGGCCTCTAGGAGGCTGTAGGCTGATGGTGACCTGCTTTTTCCATTAATCTGGGACATGCGCGCACGCGTGTGTGTGTGTGTGTGTGTGTGTGTGTCTCCTTTTTTAAATGAAAGTTTACAACCTTTGCTCAAGTTCTGTTTGTAAACTACCTCCTCCCTGGAGACGTCTCAGCTTCATTTTTTTTTTTTTTTTTTTTTTTTTTTTAACATCCATGGAATGACATGCCACTGCGGACCAGCACACTGGAGGGACTTCCATTTGGTAGCTGCCGCTGGTATCCATCGCGAGTCACTTTGCCAGGATGAATGCTGGTGGGCAGAGGTAGCCTAAGTTAAGATCCGGGAGCGGGCTGCATGAGACTTTTGAGACATCTGCTGCGATGATCTTAGCTCTTTGTCTGCTCTGGTCCATATCTACTCAGTTGTTTGCTGGAAACTGTTTAACTGCCAGGCTCTCTGAAGGGGAAAAGAAGCCCTTCTCTGAAGCATTTGCTGATTCCCTTGTGCGAGTTCTTCCCGTAGGGCTGATCTTAGCGACCACATTGGAGCTGGGAAGGGACGCGCACAGCCGTGCCCTTAGCCAGCAGCCCGCTGCCTGCCTTCCTCCCTGGGGTGGTGGATTTTCACATAGTAGCTTCTAAAACATTCTGTTTTTCACATGCTGATTTTTAAAAATACAAAATTAAAACCACATGTCTGACTTCAGTAATCTTTTTTCTCATGGTTTGTCACAGTGCTTTTGTGATGTTAGGTTTCTCATGGCATATTTTGTGTGTTCAAACAAAGGTGAAACTGCCATTGATTTTTTTTTTAAATTTTGTTTTTAATTCTATTTTATTGATTTTTTTTTTTTTTCACAGAGAGGAAGGGAGAGGGAGAGAGTTAGAAACATTGATCAGGTGCCTCCTGCACACTCCCCACTGGGGATGTGCCCGCAACCAAGGTATATATGCCCTTGACCAGAATGGAACCCGGGACCTTTGAGGGCACAGGCTGATGCTCTGTTCACTGAACTTAACTGGTAAGATAGTCTCCAGCTTCTTGGTGAAGAAGCCATGGTCAGCTCCAGCAGCTTCTCCTGCACAGCTTTGTTGGCCATGACCTGCTTAGTCAGTTCCTTCATGTTCATTCCCTTCATGTCTCTGGCGATGGCCATGACCTGGCTGCCTGTGTAGCTTCTCCTTCTCCTTGAGTATCTGAGGGTCAGACTTAAACTTCCAGGCCCCTAGGAGTACCCCCAATGGCCAGTCCCCTCGGGCCGTTGACCACGAATCCAATAAACATCATGACACTGGTGATAGCGATGGCCTGTGTCGTGTGCACCACGGCCGCCTTCACCGCCTTCCAGGTTGAGATGTTCTGTAGCTCCATAGGATCCTCCACGTTCAGGAACATAGCGGGTCTGGCCAGCCTGGGTCATAGAAGAAAGTCGTCCGCATACACCCTCTCCTGTTTTTGGACCGAGTTCTGGGTGCCCTGTCAAAGGCCAGTGCTTCCTGTTGTTCCAGGTGGACTGCCCTCGATGACACTTCCTCTTCCTCCTGGAGGACCGCTGTTAGTAAGCTCTGTGGCTCCATCTGTTAGCAATGCTTTCAAAGATGTGGTGGCAGGACCTGGACCAGCAAGGCAGAAGGAGCCTGTGAGAGTTGCTCCCCAGCTGGGATCCTGGGCCAGGGCACCTGCCATTGATTTTTAAAATCTTCCCTCCAGTTCACGGCTGGGAGGATTTCAACAGTGTAAGGTTCCCAGAACACTCTCCTTCAGCTTCTTAGAATTAAAATATAGTTTTAATTTTTCTTGTATTTATGGCTAAAAAGTAAGTTTAATTCTTTTTCTTCAAATTTTGATGGGAAAAGTGAGCTCATGAGCCTAAACTATATAGTAAAAGGGTCTGGAGATATATATATATATATTGATTTCCAAGAGGGAAGGAGAGGGAGAGAGAGAAACATAAATGATGAGAGAGAATGATTGATCAGCTGTCTCCTGCATGCCTCCCACTGGGGATTGAGCCTGCAACCCAGGCATGTGCCCTTGACTGGAATTGAACCCTGGACCCTTCACTCTGCAGGCTGACACTATCTACTGAGCCAAACCAGCTAGGGCTGGATTTTTTTTTAAAACTGGAAGAATTTCTTAAAGATTTATTTACTAGGTTAGAGATAAAAAATAAGGAGGCAGGACTATCTGATACAGTTTCTAGCTTCTCTATATTAAGTGTCACTTAATCTTTTTTTTTTAAATAAAAATTAAATTTTATTTTTAAAAAGATAACAATTTATACATCCTTATAAAAGAAATGATAACATTTTCACCAATGTAAAACATCACGGAATTCAAATCACAGTTTGGATCTTCAAGATTCAAGTGCTGTATCCCATTAAGTAAAATGTGGTCAGTTTTAAGATAGAAATGCCTCCTCTGGATATCCTGTCCTCAATCACTGCTTTCTTTATTGCCATCATCTCACACAGGAGGGTAGCTGGCCGCGGTGGCAATTCCACGGTGGTTGTTCCGGTCTTTATGTAGCCCTTCTTGCCCCAAGCTTCACCCCAGCTGTTCTTGACAATCCAACATTTATTGTTACTGAGTCTTCTCCTTCAAAGCCATAGCCAACCCCCAGAACGCCATGTCCTAGACCCACACTGCTGCCGGGCCGCTCATCATAAATGCCGTCTTCATAGAACTGGAAGCTAAGGTGGCTT